ACCGGGGAGTGTTTGTAGGGAGACTTATATACACCTCTGGGCTATTCGTTGAAAAGCACTTTTTGAGAAATACCAACCGTTGAAATCATTAATGTAAAAAATACGTAAACTTTTTTCATATGAATTACACGGAGAGACACACTATTTGGGGAAACACCGAATAATTAACTAATTGGAGAGCATTTCTAACATATAAAATACGATAAGTATATAAATCGAGATGAGTTTTGGCTGAAAAATCATAACAACTCAATGGCATCGAGTGTTTGAACACAACTTCTCACTCAAACTCTTCTTTTTTCTTAAGAAGAAAATACATTTTGAAAAAAGTTTTTACAATACTTTTTATACCATTTTTGGCAATTATTTACAATCAAACCAATTGAACATTTCGTACGGAAAAAATACTTTAATTTTAAACTATAAATTGAGTGAAACATCTGAACAAAACATGTCATCAAATACTTTCGTATCGATCGCGTCGGAAACCATTGCCTCGGAGCTGGACATGGAGTTCATACATAACATCGACAATAATGTGACAAACAGTGTATGGATGGACAGCCAGTCCAGCAATTTATGGCACTATGTATTTCACGAGTACTGGCACAACGAGGGGTGTCCGCAAGCGGAACACCTGCCCCTTATGGGTGGCGGACCCCTACCCGTACTCGTCATAATGAGCGCATACCTGCTATTTGTCACTAGAATTGGGCCGTGGATTATGGCCAAAAGGCCTGCACTGGAGCTGCGAACCCCGATGCTAGTGTACAACACGACCATGGTCATTGTCAACGCCTACTTTTTTGCCAAATTCATCTCATTCGCCGATTACGGCCGAGTGTTCACCCGATTTCAGTTCCCCTCGCCGTACGACCGCTCGCCGGCATCGGTGGCCATCATCGCCACCACTAACCTATACTTTTGGTCAAAGTTTGTGGATCTGATGGACACCGTGTTCTTCGTGCTGCGCAAACGTCAGCGCCAGGTGTCGGGCCTTCATCTCTATCACCACACAGTCGTCCCGCTGTTGGCGTGGATGACAATGAAGTTGATGCCAACGGTTCCCGCGTTTCAGATCTTTGGCCTATTGAACTCGTTTGTCCACACAGTTATGTACGCCTATTACGCCCTCTCGGCCTTCGGGCCCGCCATTCAGCCCTACCTCTGGTGGAAGCGCTACATCACAATGATCCAGATCATTCAGTTTGTCGTGTTTATTACCTATTCGATGGCCTTAACCGTCTACCAGACCGGTTACCCGACCATTTGGCTCTGGGTTGGTATCGTTCAGAGTCCTCTCTTTTTCTATATGTTTACCAACTTTTATATCAAGTCTTACCTGAAGAGCAAACTTAAGAGTAAAGTTAATTAGTCGTCTCTCTTTCTTTCTCTCTCTCTCTCTCTCTCTCTCTCTCTCGCATTGTCTATAAAGTTGTTGTGATTTATTTACCTTTGATTTAAGTGTTTATATAATTAGTATTTAAATGAAAGTTATTTATTTATATTTTAATTTTCTCTCTTTATTTATTGTAAAGAGAGATTAATTGTAAAGTTTTGTTCATTTATTATGTTATTTAAAAGTATTGTTTTTATTAATTATTGTTCAAAATATTTGTGACATTATGTAAGAAACTATTTATTTCATTAAAAATAATGTATTTTTGCACAATAAAAAAATACAAACTTTTTTTTGTCTCCAAATGTATACCAAAAAAAGTAAATAGATATCAAAATAATGTGTTTAAAAAGTTAGATAAATATTACAATAAGAAAATTAATGATAAAATGTATGCAAAAAAGTATTATAAATCAGAAAATGAAACAATTATACAATATTTGGTACACAAAAAAGTAAACATACAAAAAACACCAAGGTATTAAACAAAACGACATCGTTTACCGCAACTGCCATTCATTCAACATCCGGGCGCAGGAGTCGGCCCGGAATATCCAGGCGCTCAAGAAAGCCATGAAACCAAATAACAGCACAAATATAATGAATATATTCTGGCATTTATTGCGGGCTATCATTG